GAGTGTTGCGGTAAACAGCTTTGGTGAGATGGTGTCACCCTGTCGAACTCCTTTTCCAATTGGGAAGATGTCAGAGTCCTAATGGTCTGATGACCGAAGTGCTATTTTCGTATGTGTGTTTTATGATGTTGATGTACGCTGGATCCATGTTCTGTTTTTTACAAAGCTGTTAACATTGCTGGTGTTTCTATGGAGTCAAAGACCTTCTGATAGTCAACGAATGCCAAACATGGGGTAGGTCATAATCTACACTTTTTTCTATTAGTTGGTTTATGGATGTGGTTTATGGTAAAGAATAAATGGTTTATGGTAAAGAATTCTCTGCGGAAGCCTGCTTGTTCACGAGGTTGCTGTTCATCCAGTTCATTTGTTATTCAGTTGCAGAGCACTCTTGTGAATATCTCGTAAATAACAAGCAGAAGGAGGCTGATTTGGTGAATAGTTGCTTAGGTCTCTTTGGCCCCCTTGCTTATGTAAAATAATAACTTCATTGTCTCAACTTCTCGGTGTTTGACCTGTTTTATGCATTCGGTGAAGAGATGAGCCAGTTTTGGTGTTATTACGTCACTTGCATCCTTCACCTGGTCGGCAGGGATACAATCTTCACCTGGAGCCTTGTTGCTTTTCATTCCCTTCAGATGCCTTTTTGCTTTCTATTCTTTCATTCTTTCTTAACTGTATCTTGACCTGCACTGACACTTTTGGTGGTATAAATCTCGACTTTTTCAGTGTGGTTCTTTATATAGCTTACTGTAATAATAATAATGATAATAAAAATAATGATAATAATAATAGTAATAATAACAATAATAATGATAACAATAGTAGTAGTAGTTGTTGTGCGTGTTTTAATTCCGATGTTGATATGGGGTGAGTCCTATATAGCTCAGTCGAGTTGTCATTCTCATTTGGTGGCTCGTCGTGGTTGCGGTTGTAGTTCTTCATAAAATCCCTTCGCTAGTTCAATTATTCTGTCTCTGTCCTTTGTAATGATGATATTAGTTATCCTGAAAATCAAATTCAAAATATCAAAGATGATGGTAATGATGATGATGATAATGATAGCAATAACAATAAAATCTGTCCTTTGTAGTGATCATATTAGTTCTCGTGAAAATCAAATTTAATAATAGTAATGATAAAGATGATGATAATGATGATAATAATGACAATAACAATAATTCATCGCGTTGTAAGACACTTAATTATTAGTTATTGAGGACCGTAAGACACAATATCTGTTAAACCAAGTAGGGCTCATATTAATATAAAAAGAAAAAAAACAGTATTCTAACTTGACTAACAATACTAAACCAAAGAATCTGATGAACTTACAACACTTATTTTTTTTTTTTTTTCTTATCTCCCTTGCAATGCTAAGTTGCGTTTGCTCTGAAGTCTAGTATATCCAGGTTGGTAATTTGCACATAGTGTGGTATGTATTAATCGAAGGGTATTTTTGTTTACTTTATTTCTGTGTTGGGAGTGCGATGTAGAAGTACAAGTTGGGGGGGGGGAGGTTGAGGGAGGAAAAGAAGTAGGAAGAGAAGGATATGGAGGAAAGAAAGAGTGGGAATAAAAGAGAAAGAGAGGAGGAAGAAAAATAAGGAATGAAGGGAGAGAGAGACAGAGACAGAATCAGATAGAGACAGTCAAACAGAGACAGACAAAGAGCGAGAGAGGGAGAGATACAGAGACAGAGACACAGACAATAGACAGACAAGAGAGAGGCAGACAGAGACAGACAGACAGACAGAGACATAATCAGAGAGAGACAATCAAACAGAGACAGACAAAGAGCGAGAGAGAGAGACAGACACAAACAGACAGACAGACAGATAGACAGACAAAGAGAGAGAGGCATGCAGAGACAGACAACAAACCGAGAGAGAGGGAGAGAGAAGCAGACAAACACACAGACCGAGACCGAGAGAGACAAATAAAACGAGAAAGGTGTGCAAAACGCATAACATTACCATGCCGCTTCCGTTGTGTTGATATGTCAGGCAGAGATAACAAAGGAGTTGCATTCGTTCCAAGATTAAGGTTTGACAGTGACGTGTTACAGTCGATAAGGCGAGTGTTCTTTACAGTCAGACGATAAGCATTTCCTGGAGATGTCTTATCGCGATTGTAAGTTTGGCAATTACACTTGAGCTGTTATCAGGCGAAGTGTTGAAGGCAGTGTACTCTGATCTTAAGACGCCGGTAAATCCACCGGTGTGTGGAGTGAAATGGAGTGAAGAAAATGAGCATTATGGGAAAAAAGCAAATAACCATAGAGGATTAATTTTTTTTCATTTCTATGCTTAGTCGTTGGAAAATGTGGTTTTTGAATGAAATATTATTTGAACGATTTTTTTTTTTCAGAGATCAGCTGATGTATTGTCCACGTAGCACAATCGCCTTGCTTCGGTAGCCCATGGGTGAGGACACGCGAGCCCACGCTTAACACGGAAATACGGAAATATGTATTTGGTCCGTGATCAGAGCAGGTGTCGGCCGCACGAGATAATTCTATATGCATCTTTTCTCGTTTTCAACATATGTGTTACACCGAAACAGGTGTTATTGCGTGGCAGCGAGGATAAAAGCTAACACTTGCCGCTGGGCTGTCAGTCGAGACGCGAACTCCCTCCAGCTGAACGCGCCCCTCTGCTCGCCAAGGTTGTCCCCGCGATCCTACGTCCTGCGAGTTTGGGATCCTACGTCAAAGGACTTGCTCCCAGAATCGTGATTTACCTGCAGTTCGTTGAAGGATCTAAGCAAGATTTCTAGATCATGTAGTTTCAGTTATGAGTCGGGTTCTGACTGCATTGCGGGACTGCAGTCTGGAGAGCTTATCGTGTAGCTGAGTTGGTTGTGCGAATCTATATCTTGACATGCCTTTCCCAAGGGTAACTTACGTAAGTCAGCAGTATCTTCCAAAATTAGATACCACGACTATCCAGGTGAAATGTTGTGATTGTGGCTCCCTCGCCTGAGTTCACATGAGTGACTATCAGTTAGGTTGTGGCAGCACGAACTTCCTCGCAGAGTGTAGACCAGGCATTCCAAAATGTCCTGAACTGGACCCTTCAAAAGAGAAAGATCTGAATTGTGAAGACCTATTCAAACCCCTGTTATCGTTAACTATCCCTGAAAGTAGGACCTGAACCAGTTTCATAATTTTTTTTTAGCTTTCATAAAAAAAAATTTAGCTTTCATAACTTTTTTTTAGCTTTCATAACTTTTTTTTAGCTTTCATAATTTTTTTTTTTCATAACTTTTTTTAGCTTTCTTTCATAACTATTTTTTAGCTTTCATAACTTTTTTTTTTAGCTTTCATAACATTTTTTTTTTAGCTTTCATAACTATTTTTTTTAGCTTTCATAACTTTTTTTTAGCTTTCATAACTTTTTTTTTTTTTTTTTTAGCTTAGTCCTTTATTTACCGCCCTGGCTAAATGCACAGGCGTGGACAAGCTGTGATATATTTGATGCTTGGTCATAGCATTATATGATAGTATTATATTCGAAATTTAGGATATAGCATTAGTACTATCTGTACTATGTCGCTTAAAAGAAAATAACTATCACAGTAATTTATCTACTCATCTACCAAGCCAGCGTACAGTTTGGCCGTTTAAAAGCATTGTTACATTTGTTATGCGGTCATGTTATATTAATTTGAAACTGACTGAACCTTACTGCAGAGAACAGTGAACAGGACTTAACAGGGTATCATTTTTTCATTCATTTTTCAAACATTTTATTGATTTGCACAAAGACTCATTCTCAGATATCTCAGTCGTGGAAACATGTACTTTCTTTTCCAATGAGTACAAGTGTCCAACAATTCGTAGGAAGGCGTGGGAAAAAATTGAAAAAATTGTTTGTTATCAAAGTGCTACTCATTAATTAATCTTTTTTTATTTTCTTTTTCTGTTTATATGTATATTTATGTTTGTATATATATATATATATATATATATATATATATATATATATATATATATATATATGTGTGTGTGTGTGTGTGTGTGTGTGTGTGTGTATATATATATATGTATGTATATTTATACATATATATATATATATATATATAATATGTGTATGTGTGTGCAGCACACACACACACACACACACACACCACACACACACACACACACACACACACACACACATATATATATATATATATATATATATATATATATATATATATGTGTGTGTGTGTGTGTGTGTGTGTGTGTGTGTGTGTGTGTGTATGTGTGTGTGTGTGTGTGTATGTGTGTGTGTGTGTGTATGTGTGTGCATGTGTGTGTATTATATATATATATATATATATATATATATATATATATATATATATATATATATATATATATAAACATATATATACATATATATACACACACACACACACACACACACACACACACACACACACACACACACACACACACACACACATATATATATATATATATATATATATATATATATATATATATATATATATATATATATATTTTGTGTGTGCGTGTAGATAGACAGACAGATAAATCGACAGATTGATAGATGGACAGATAGATAAATATGTGTTTATATATCACCAGTACTTAAAACCTAAAGTCTAGTTATTAGAAGATTCAAACTACTTTTTTTTTCATTGCATTTTCCCTGGAGAGACGAGCAGCTACTCCCTTTGTTTTAATAATGCGTTACTTTCCTTGTCTCATTCCCCGGTTCGGTGATTAACTTTACTCTATATGACCATAGTGTTTGTAACGATTTCATTTAAATCAGGTGATGTGAGCCGACAAAACTACAACGCTATAAATAAAATGGAAAAGTTGTAAAGTTACTATTTCTAATTTCGTTTGTCAATTTTCTAATTATTTTTTTTCTATTTTAGACCGAAACCCGCTATCGTTCTTTGATAAATGAATGATAAAAGTATATATCCATCTCGTAAACTTTACACCAAGGGTCCCTGCGTGATCAGCTGTATGTAAACAAACTGGCCACGTCATTTTACATTACGGAGGAAAATCTTGTTTTCGCTGCGTTTTCCTTTTGAATTCTCCTTAATTTTATCACCGGCAATACAAACGTGCTCAGACGCATAAGTACGTATCGAATAATATTACTGATATATTACACATAACGTAAATATTTAAGAAATTTGAAAGGAGGCGGCATCTGATAACTCTTAGAAGCGTACGTGTTGAATAGTGTTAAGAAAGAGGCGTGTATTTCATCACAATTTTATTATATATTCGCCCCTCTAAGGACTAATTATGGCCAGTGTGGTGGAAGTAAAGAGGGCTCTCCTCACTGGCATAACAGGACAGGTTAGTAAGACTCGTTATTTCCTAAGTTTCAGACATGATAGATAAGACTGGATTAGTCAACGAGGAAAGGTAAGTTTGATAAGGAATGCCATAACGCGACGCTTATTTCCGTAGAACGATAGTTAGAGTGTGCCGGTGCCTCGGGAGTGTGAGTGGAATTGAGTTTGACCGAAATAATTCATATTGTAATGTGAGGGGAGGTAATCAAATTATTGTTTCATTTATACAACTGTAATTCATTACCGGCAGCCGGGCTCCGATTTCAAAGTAGTTCGTAATCCTTTGTAGTAGCTGTAGTAGCCCATATCATATCAAGGTATAGCTTAGGCTCCCATGACCTGTCATTGTTAAGCTACAACACATTCATTTAGTTACTCATTGCAACGTAAGGCTATCAATCATTGTCTCTGGGTACAGGTATAGTGTTGTAGTTAGTGCTTGTATTAGCAAATCATGTGGCTGTACATTCAGCCACAGGTATACTGTGACATATCCCAGTGAAACATGAAGTAGTTTATGATTTATCACATTTTTTATTGTACAAGGGGTAGAAGTCTTAGAAAAGGAAAATTGAAATAAGGTTCAACTTTATTATTCTCCATTAAGGATTATTTTGTGCAAAGACTAATGTGTATCATGTAGAAGCATGTTGTTTTTTGTACAGATGAATATCTTTATTTGCTTTATATGTTCATCCAAAATTTTCAATTAAGCATTAGGGAAGAGGATATTGACATGATGGCATAATCCTTTCTTTGGTAAACAAATCATCAACCATAGGAACCCATCAGATTTGTAATCAAGAACACTTTAGCAAGAAGTAGATTGCCCTCTCTATCTTAGGAGAGATGTGATATATTTCCTTGTAATAGGGATAATGATATGGACCATGATTACAAAGTTACCCTTGGTTATAAGAAGGCTACATAAGCACAACCTTTTCATTTGAAATGTCGTTAGATATCCAAGAGGAAAATGAGTCAAGGATGATTGTAGTAGAAATTTAATAATTTTCCAGAGCAATTTGAAAAGATGAGTAATTTGAATGTGGAGTAAAAGTTTATTGCATACTATATTTTTGTAAGAAGTGTAAGGGCTAAAATGGTGCATTAATGAAAATATGCATTAATCCATAATTTATATTCTTTTAGTGCTACAAAGATTGAACCAAATTGTGTTTGAAAATCAGAAAAATCAGGCAAATAAATTCATACTAGTTTGGAACTGTTGAAACGAACTTGTCAAAGAACATTATCTAAAGGTTTGCAAAAGTTCCAAAACTACCTCAAAATGCGTGTTGCTTTGGTCACAGGTGCAACTGGCCAGGTAAGAGAAGCAATGTGTATTTGTGTGTGCATGTGTGCCTGCATATACTTTTATAGTAATTTGTCTATTAATCAAGTGTGTGCTCATTCCAATAGATTTCATCCTTCACTCTTGAAGAGTTTTACCATTCTTTCTCTAAATTCCCTTATAACCTGATCCAAAGGCCAATTAATCACAACAGAATCCTCCCATCACAGGATGGCTCCTACCTGGCTGAGCTCCTCCTCAGCAAGGGATACCAGGTTCATGGGATCATCAGAAGAGCCTCCACCTTCAACACAGGCCGTATCCGTCATCTCTATGAAGACACTAAGGTAAGAAAAAAAAAAGATTAATAGATACAGAAAATTGATAAAGAAGAATGAAAATAAAATTATGTAAAAAGTGTGTAATAATACCCTAAAAGGAGGATGTGCTTTCAATTGATATAGTACTATGGATTTTTCTCTTGATATATTTTTGTAGAATAATCTTAAATGGGAAGAAAGTTACTTTGAGGATTCATTAATGTACGTAGAAATCTGCACGCAGATGTCCATTTCCGGGTAATTTATCTCTCTGGCATGCTAGCTCTAGATAAGGATACGTAAGAGGGCTGTTGTTCTTTATCAAATCAGATAGGAGTTTATCACAGATGGAAATTCTCCATAGAATTTTGTTATCACCATCAGTTTTACTGTTAATGATATTACTCTTATTATTATCATTTATTCTTTCATTGTCAATTTGTTGTTGTTGTAGTTGTTGTTACTGTAATAGGTATTATTATAACCATTATTGTCATCTTCATTATATTTTACTATTATTATCATGGTCATCATTATTATTACTATTACTGGCATGATCATCTTTATTTTTACTATTATTATCATGGTCATCATTAGCATTATCAGTGTTAGTATTACCATTGCTATTACATTTAAAGAACAAAAATGTTTTGTGCATTTATATGTACTCAGTTCAAAGATGTATTCTTTTGTAAATAAAAATCAGTTGACAGTTTTTGTTAAGATATATAGATTATGCTTGCATCATTTTAGCTTGGTGATGTCGGGTTCAAATTTATATCATATTTCTTTTGGTCCAGAATTTTCACAGAATGCTGGTTTAGAAGTTTATCCGTCACATCATCAGTAGTCTTTTATATAGATAGATAGATATAAATATAGATATATATTTAGATATTTATTTATATATATATTTCCATGATCAGTTGACTTTTTTTAGTATTGCTATTTTGATTAGTTGATTTATTTTTGCTTCTATTTTTCCTTCCAGATCCACAGTAACGGCCGGATGCAGCTCCATTATGGTGACCTGACAGACTCGACCTGCCTTGTTAAGATTATATCCCTCGTCAAGCCAGATGAGATTTATAATTTAGGCGCTCAGAGCCACGTCAAGGTGAGTTGCAATATCTCTTAGGGAATTATCCTGGAGCAGCACACACAGTTTTATGAAGTATGAGGGTTATGTCTCATAGAACCTTTTTTGGGAAAGAAAGGGTAGACATACTTAAGATTTTTTATTTTTATTATTATTATTATTATTGTTGTATATTATTTTTCTCATCAGATAATTGGTGATACATAAATTTGTTAACTGTTTCCTACAATACATCTTCTGCAAAGAGCACACCACATAATGTCATTTACTAGATCAGATATTTATTGCTGAAAATATTTCACATGAAATTTACAGTTTCATTTTTGCAAAACAACAATTTTTATCTCTCATTTTCTCTCCACAGGTTTCCTTTGATATGGCAGAATACACTGGAAATGTTGATGCCATGGGAACTCTCCGTCTCCTAGATGCTATAAGAACGTGCGGCATGGAAAAGAAGGTCAGATTCTACCAAGCTTCCACATCAGAACTTTATGGAAAGGTTCAGGAAATTCCGCAGAAAGAGACTACCCCGTTTTATCCTAGATCTCCCTATGGTATGTTTGAAGGGGCTTTGATGTCCACGAGTTGGTATGAGGTCCTTTTTTTTATTATTATTATTAATGTTTGACATTTGAATATTACCTCTTTATTAACAGGTTCCCATGTTATGAAGAAAAGATGATTTTCATTCTTTAAGGCTAATGCTCATGTATTTGTCATGAAATATAGTTAGAGTAGTACGTTATTTTGTTAAAGGATTTTTTTGATTAGAAATATTTGTTAAACCATTTTGTAAAGATGAGAGTGAAATCTCATTTGATTTATATATTTATGATTATTTTGCAGGTGCTGCAAAACTTTATGCTTACTGGATTGTTGTGAACTACCGTGAAGCTTATGGCATGTTCGCCTGTAACGGTATCCTCTTCAACCACGAATCTCCCAGACGAGGTGAGACATTCGTCACTCGTAAGGTCACCCGGTCAGTGGCTAAGATACACTTGGGAATCCTGGACAAGTTTGAACTTGGAAATATCGACTCCAAGAGAGATTGGGGACACGCAAAAGACTATGTTGAGGTAAGCACGGTCACTTCAACAAACAGTTTATGCTTGGTTATATAAAGATCAAAGGAAGAGAGAAATTGATTTGTTGCATGTTATGAAGGAAGGAAGAGAGTATTCTGTAAAGAAAAGAAATTTAATCCTGATAGTTATTTTATGATATTGAATTATATTTATGTTCCTTGGTACTGGATTGTTTTCTCTTAGTAATTTTGTGAGAAGGCTCCATTATTCAGGAGATCAACCAATACTGTTTAGCATATAAGTACAGACAATTACTGTAGCATTTTCTCCATTGTACAGGGAATGTGGAAGATCCTCCAAGCTGACGAACCTGAGGACTTTGTTCTTGCCACGGGAGAAGTCCATTCCGTCCGAGACTTTGTTGAGGCTGCATTCAAAGAGGTAAGTGAGAGAGAGAGGTCTTGGCACATTTGGCCTTTCAGTGATTATGAGTTATATGTGAGCTACAATTTGCAGTTCGTCATGTATGCATAAGCTATATTTCGTACTCGTCTGCATTTTGCTGTATGTTCTCAAGCAAAGACTCTCTGGAGATTAATCTTTTAAGTTTTAATTCAGTAAGTGCTTTATGGTTGAGTTCCACAACAAAAGAAATCTAAGAAAAGGTGTCTTCTCTTCTCCAAAGATTGGACGTGAAATCTACTGGGAAGGCACAGGTGTTGATGAAGTTGCAAAGGAAAAAGAAACGGGCATTGTGAGAGTGAAGATCAACCCTAAGTATTACCGACCTGCTGAAGTTGTGAGTATCGTGTTCGTCTGCTTCTTTGATGAAATTCTGTGACTATGATTAAAGTCTGTACATAACAGGCAAGACAGTTCACTTTAGGATGTTTTAATTTACTTTTATACGACTTGCATT